TCCAACGAGCTGTCCACATTTTAAATGGAGGGAAAACTCGGGCTTGAGATAGTTCAATTGGTTAAACGCGAGCTCACTGGCCGAAAGGACCATGTTTCGAACCCAACCTTGACATCTCGACTGCTCTTGTCTAGGCTTGAACAGCCCAGCAGTATCTCAGCCCTTGTGCCTTCTTTGGTTAGCAGGACAGTTAGACCCCAAAAAGATGCTACAGATGAACGATTATTAGTAACGAGCACTCCGAAGTAGGCACGAAAAATGCACTGTTCTTGGCATACGTATCACATGGCCAAGCCACCTTAGGTTGTCATACTGGATGTATTTTTCGAGGGAATCATCTTCTGGTTCACCAAAAGCCGAACTTCTAACCGCCTCAGTCCGAATTGACTGGTTCTGTCCCATTTCAGCTACGGTTCTGAGACCCCAGTCGTTAAAAGCCTGAAGATGCCTCATCCTCTACCGGAAGTGACTAATTCTCAGCCAAAAGAGTGAACCGGTCAACATAACTGAACGCACTCTTGAAGTCAAGGAACACCAAGGTGATGGGGACCTATACGCATGTTGTTACTCTATCACGTGACGAAGTGTGAAGATGTCTCCCCGACCGGAATCCTGCTTGCTATTCTTGGGTCCTACCTTCACGTGGCTTCATAAGACAACTTAGAATGTGCGATGAAAAGAGTGATTACAGCGAGGAGCAAGCTGACTCCCCTGTGATTCCCACACTTACTACGAGCACTATTTTTGAAAATTGGCACGACTCAACTCACCCCGGTTGGTTGGGATGGTATCTTTCTCCCAAACAGACGCAGGTATGTGAGTTAAGCACTGACGGAGGATTTTACCTCCAATTCTCAAAAGGGGTGTGTGAGAGTTCGTCAGGACCAGCATCTGGGTGAGGAAGAAATGGCGTTCGCTTAATTCCGAAGTTCCAAGTGTACCGGATCTGGAATCAGACTGAGCTTAATCTGCTACTGTCCAAACGCCTATTGGACAAAACTTGTACCCTGTGACAATCGGTAGGAAAATGGGAAAGCCTTCCGATACGCTCCTACTCACTGATGCACCTGGGGTGTTGTATTCGGTATTCGTACGGTGTGTGCACGCAGGTATCCTGTGCGATTGTAAACTCACTCGACAACACTTGCTGGTCACCCAAAGATACCAAAAAGGGTGCTATCGCAGCTGAATATGATTGTTTGTTCAACCTTGGCGATAGGGTTTGGTTGTGTGAACCGGCCTCACCCAAAGGCTGAGCTTCATGAGGCTTGGAAAAGACCGGGCGCAGTGGAGCAAGTTACCGATGTAACCTGTTGCCTTGTTCACTCAGGTTAATTGATCAACAATGGCGTAAATCATTCGTCTTATTTTAGTAGACATGATATCCGACGGCTTTATGATAGAGCTTCCGTTAGAGGAGGGCTGTGCAATGTTAATCACCATTGCTTGTCTGTTTTCAGAAGCAGTGGCGTTAATGAGGCTAGAACGTAACGATACCTTTGATTGTCTTCTACAGGATACTTATAGCCCCCCAATAACTGGTACATTATCCATTCTTATGTGCACCTCACACCTTTCCACCACTCCCCATGTCTTTGTTCCTCGACAACAAACGGAACTACCATATCTTTGTGGTTAGAGGGAGCTGACAATCTTGCGTTGCATCCACCTGACACATCGTGTTCTCCTTTTCAGCCCACTGGTCGCTCTCTTCGGAACACCCACGAAGTGAGCCTGGACAGTTTTCCTGCAGTCGAACATATTACACTGACGGATGGTTGGTTCTCTTGTTTCCTTCTTTATGTGATACATGATAATATAGTCGAAGTTTCTAGCAACAAAAGCACCCAATGAGGAGCTTTCGTTAAGCAACCGAGTTTATTTTAACCCTTTGGATTTCCATGACCGGTGGAGGTAAGTCCCATCATGACGTTACTCGATGGGAACCAGTTGCATTTCAGTTCATGCTGGCGGGAGTATGTATGTTTTCCGAGCGGCCGCACACGAGAGTGTTCCAGCGGGAAAGGTGGCTTTTGGACTTGTTCAGGTTAGTCAACATTTCACGTATTATTGTCGGCCCATGTGCCAGTGCAGATGGACTTGTTTGTTGGTCGACCGTGCCCATTTCCTGCCGTTACGTTGCTCGATGGATGCACATGCATCCATTATCCCTATGTGGCTTGTCCAATTGAGCTTAGCCCTCAAATTTTTTTGTGGGTAATTAAAGAACTTCAACGGAGGAGCTTCAGGGAGCTGGGCAGACACCGTCAGTATAGCATTCAAGAAATCCAGAGATGTCAATTTTCATACTGGCGCTACGGAAAATTCAATCTGTTGGTCCCCGAAGGTCACCATAACCCTCCCTCTTGCGCCTGTGCCTGACCATGCCACATGGTCCACAAATCCCTAGTTTCAGTCAAATTTGCCTCTACATCAAGGCAGTCCAACAGGTCATCGAATGCTCCTATTGTGAGAGCCGGTTATTTTTCAACATTTGTCAACCTGGACCACCGGTTTCCGTTGAACTCGAGAAACTCTGGTCTTGCGGCATCTATGTCAAGAATCCACTGTGAATATGTATCAAGCATGCACGACTGGCTTCTAAGTGAACAGAAGTTGGACGGTAATAACTGAACTGATCCGAACGAATACCAGGTCGCCTTAGCTGTGTGACCTGCTACCTAGAGGAGGCCAAAACAACTCATCATCATCACCTACAGTAGAAAATACTGGTGCTTAGCTTCCGTACAATCATGAGAGAAGAAAGCCTTAGGAAAAAGTGGAAAGAAAAGGAAAGGTAATGGGTTCATTGGTTCTGCGTCTTCAATGAAAGAAGATCAAGAATAGGGTATTTATAACCTTGAACAGTATTAAAATAAACGACTGCGATTCACCAGTGGCCTGAATTTCCATGACCGAAGGGGCTACTCGAAAAGCATTTAATGTACTCATTGTTAGCCATTTTTATTAACGGTTTCCTGGAGCCACCCCTCCTTGACGGGCGATAACTTTTAACACGACTAGTGAACGGAATTCTTTCATGGTTCGTTTCGCTTCAGAGGTGCACCCACAATCCATGACAACCAGTATCAGTCAACCACAAATTCAGTGAATTAGATGTCAGTATAATGTTCAGTACATTGTTTGCGAATGTGTCTAAAACGTGGTACCAGCACTCGAATTCAGTCCGTATGAATCAGATCTTCATCCAGCAGCTACCACTGCCGCCTGTCTTTCGCATGAAACCCCACTCGACGGCTTAGATGTGCTCGCAGATTTAGGAACCGTCTGTCTGGGTTTGCCTGCACACCCGAATGAACACTGGATATCATCATGAGCCAAAGCTCTCAATAACCAATGAAATCCAAATTGTCAACCATAAACCGTGTGCCATAAGCACAGCGGTTCCAGGTGTCAGTTTCCATCGCCGAAAACGGGAGATTATTGGACATGCAGCCAAGCCTTGGAGGCAATAGCACATCTGATTAGTTTTGTAACTGGCTAGCTACGCATTGAAGGTGATAGCTTTTGATGCATGAGTGCCATTGACTACACGATTGGGCCATTTCTGCCAATGTCATTAGCCATTGGTGAGTTGAGTCCCGGGGTCTCTATTCAGGGAGGCGGCAGCTGCCGACCCGACTGAGAGTTTCCGTACTTCGTTGCCAGGTCATACATTCTCTACCTCTCGGTCGCTTCCACTCAGCACAGGGCTGGGCAAAAAGACTCCGTGAGACAGGCGGCGTACATGTCTTAACCAGCGTAACCCATGAAGTGTGAGTAATTCATCTATCGCGGGAGGGCTCCTTCTTCCTAAGACCACCTGGCGTACTTCAGCATTGCTGATCCGATGTTCCCACCAGACGTGACCAATGCTCCGGCGACAGCGGTGGTCAAACACTGGCATCTTCCGTATGTCCTCTGTACGCAGGGGCCACGTTTCTGATTCATAAAGCAGTATGGATTGCAAGACCGTAATGTGAACTCTGTCCTTGACAAACTGACGTCAGGTTAGTGCCATAGGTGTCGGAGGTTGGAAAAAGGTGTCTTGACCCTTCCGATTTGGGAAATAATCTCATCTCCAGCTAATCCACTGGAACCTATACAGCTGCCCAGGTAAACAAATTCATCTGCTACGTCGATTGGCTCGCCTGCAAGCACGAGGTTAAATTTGATCCAACCCAGTCTTGTAGCAACACTGTACCATTTGTAGGTGTGGATCTGTGCGGCAGGGTTATCTAGGTTATTTAAAGTCGTCCGCATTTGGGAAGAATCTGAACCAAAGAGAGCAATATCGTCTGCATACTCAATATCTGTGAGGTAACGTCCCGGGAGCATCTAGACTCCCGAGATTTCAGAGGCAGACAGTGGAATTTCAAGCAGCACATCAATAACTAAGTTGCTGAGGAAAGGTAGGAGAGGTTAGTTTATTTTACACTACTGGACTTGGTGAACTCAGGTGAAAGCTACCAGTATACTCGTATACGTCCACAGGAGTTCGCACACAGTGCCCTCGTAAGAGATATAAATTTGGAAGGGACACCTTTTTTCGCCAGACGTAACCAAAGTTTCTGACGATCGACAGAATCAGGAGCAACTTTCAAATCAAGCTAAACGACCAACTTGGGACGTCTGAAGGAGTGGCGCTGTTCATGAAGTTGCCTCAAGGTAAAGATGTCGTCGATACATCCTCGACCAGGACGAAACCCCAACTTGATTCTCACAAATTCGTCTCTTCCAATAATTCATCAACCTACCCAAAATGATACCATAAAGCGCCTTAGATGCGACGGATACCAGGATACCGGATACCACGATGGTTTACACATGGCGTTCTTGCGTCCTTCAACCTGTTGATTATCCGGTGTTTGAGGCATCTGTGTGCGAAAATCACAGTCGCTAGCTGCTGGTATGGCCTTTCTAGAAGCAACAAAATCTGCTGATCTCGACCATATAGAGTGCTCATGTAGTCTAGTCATATAGCATAGGCAAACAGTTCTGAAAGCGACAAGCATTTTTTCTTTAACTCACATCCATCCAACATCCAAGGAATCTTCGTCAACCGCATGACTTTGCGTATTTAGTAGTTCTCTCGCCAGATCAGCTCGATACTCTGAGCTACTGAAATTCGTCGACGTTGATGAACGGAGCTGCTCTTCCTTGGCGTACGTAATGGTAGTGGAAAGCAAAGTTGGTGCTTTATCAGGTGGTTGTTAACTTGTTCGCCGAGCTTGGCAGTTGATTTGCAAACGTTTTGTCGCCATTCGAGGAGATATCTTCAGTGTGTTGTTGGGTGAGAAAACGAAGTGCTAACCGGGCATACACGATGGCATCATCAGAGTCACTGCGCACCCCAATCGTTAACTGAAGCTCTCCATCGTTAACTAACAACCACATGGTCCAATTGAGTCCACGGCTAAGTTGTGGTAGGTGGCCTCCAAGTAACTCGATATGAGCGTCTGTGTGGAAGCTCATGCTATCTAGGAGCTGGTGCTGATCTGCACACAACTGGAGAAACCGCTCTCCAGTATCCGTGCTTTCCGCATTGACTTCAAATCTACCACCTAACTGTACTTCTTCTGAACTCAGTCGTCCAACTTGGGCATTCGTATCACCCGCCAGGATTACTATATCCGTCCTTCTTGCCGACCGAAACAGTCGTGACAGATCTTGACAAAACTCGTCATTTTCAGCCTCAAAACTGCAGTCTGTTGAAGCGTATACCGACACGACAGACAAACACCGTTTACCACATCGACCTGCGTTAATATCAGTTGTTCCAGATAACCGCACAGAGCAAAGACGACTATTTACTGGGATCCAGTCCAGCAGAGTGCCTTCACCCCTGGGACTAAGCGCAGCTCACACCGTAGCCACGGCTCGAGCCACGGCCATGGCTCCACGAGCCATTGCGTCAGGATCGCTAGATTCCAGAGGAGTGGAATGTGGAACATGTAAGCTAGCCCTAAGCGGCCTTAGGAACACGACCGAATTGAGGTCTTGTATGCGTATTTCGGAGACCCAATATGCATTGCTAGAGAGGGGAAGCAAAGTTTCATTAAGGGATACCTGTTGCCCAGTTTGACGTAGAGTACGGACATTCAAAGCGGCAACGTGGTTAGTAAGTGATCTTTTTTTCTGGGCGAAGGTTTAGACACGGAATAGAGGCTAGGGGATTGGCAGATGGGTTGATTGCGGTTCATTGTACGATGGGTGAGGAGGGATTGTGGGAGAAGGTCGGTGAGCGAAGGGCTGTAAGTGCTAAAGACAGTTCCCTCGAATAAAAGAGGGTTTGGTTGAGGTACCCCACCCTGAGCTTTTGACTCAAAAGTCCGACCTATAAGGCAGTGGGAAGTTGCGAGGTTTTGTCTGAGTCCCTGCCCCTAGCCTCTGACTCAAGTGTCTGAACGGCGAGACAGTTGTTAGGTTTTCCTTCGGTGGGGGGCATTCCCGGATCCCATAACTCGATATTTTGACCCACTGGGCTGCAGAAGGATGGCCTGGCCCGAGGGCGCAGGGAATAAGGCATTACTGTCTCACTCCTAGTACAACTTCGCACAACAGGTGCCCTTTGAGCAGCACCAGACTCTGGTTTTAGAAGTATTCCGACCATATTGAATAATGCGCCGGCGGTCACGATCAACGGTTGGGCGATCGGAGTGCGCGATTTCGCGACCGACCTCTTCTAACCCGCCCTTCCTCTGGGAATCGCAGCGTCGGTGCTTTCATGAATATGGACATGGTGATCGCCTGAGGAAAACGCCTTACTGTCTTCACACTTATCGCGGAGGACGGTATGACTTTATCTCCAGACCACCTCGTAATATGATTACTCGCAGTACGGGGACTTACTGTTCTTCGTCCGGCTGTTCTCCGTTGGCCTTCCTGGCGTGGTTGAACCAGTATAGTCCACAGGATCATTGCAAGACAGAGTCCCGACCACCGCGAAAAGGTGATTGCTTTGGGTCGGGAATGATGCTGGTCATCAACATCGTCATGATACCAACAACGACGGACTAGGATAATGCACGCGGATCTCTAAAGCAGCTAGTGATGAGAAGCCTAGAGAATCAACTGTACTCCAAAAATAATAATATTCTTCCAGTTGTAACACCCTTTCGGTGTGAATGACCTCCAAAGAAGGTAGGACCTCAATCCACTCATAGAAACGTCATCTAGATCGACGGGTTGACCACTGAAGATCAATTCAGTTGGCCCTCCTCAACTCAACCTCTGGGAAAACCAAATGAACCTGAAAGGGACGTCTGCACTAGTTTCCGTCAGATAATATATCCAATGCAAAGTTTCATTGCTTCAGCTTAGTAAAGCATCTTGTCCGGTAGGCCTTGATCCTGCGTTTTTTTCATGAAGGCGAGTAAACTCGTGTAGATGGCCTGACGACTCTAATGCAGAATAGCGGGAATGAAGTCGGAATGCCAACAGAATGAAGTGCTATGGTGGTGACTCTAGTATTCAAAAAGGGTCCAAGAGCATCGTCCGAAAACCACTATAGTTAACGCGCGAACTTATTGAGTCGTAAGCCCGTGGTTCGGACCCAACTCCTGTATGCCTACTGCTTCTGTGTAGGCTTGGGCAACTTGGTATTATCTCAATCCTCATGCTTTCTTCGGCTGGCATGGTAGCTAGGTACCGAAAGGACGTTACAACTGAACGATCATTTCATTATTACCGAGGTCCAGTCTAGTAGTCATGCTCCCGGGGTGCCTCTGGTCTCACCCTATTCAAGTTGATCCATCAGTGAAAGAACCGCATTCACGCTAGGATTCCACCCTTGTCGATTTTACATCGATCGCTTCTTCACTTTGAATGAGCTATCTTGTCTGGGCCTGAGTGACATATTATGTTCTCACACGCCGTGTTTCTTATGAGTTCCGTGGTAGTTACGTGGGAAGGATCCAGGAGCTGATTATTTTCATTTCGTGAAATTCGTAAAATTTCGTATCCACAAGCTTTTGGACCATACCGTCAGTCAGCATGATGGTCTACAATCAGCTTCAACCAGTGCAACCGGCAAACCAGACTACCGTAGGTTCTCGGGAGTTAAACGGATAATCTCTAATCCGGTGTTCAGTGATTTATGTATCCTATTTATAAACTAAACGTCCTTGCTTTGGCCTTGTACTAAGAGTCACACAAGGGGATTATGGACAGTCTTGTTTTGTGCTCTCAATTCCTTGATCATTTTTGTCTGCTCCAGCCATACGTTTCTGGATGTCCTTACAGGGGTATGGTACGATTAGATACCATTTCCAAAAACCCTTTATAGCTCTTGTTCACCTGTGCATTTTCATCATAGTTTTCTTTACCATTAAGCCCTTCTGTATTGCTCTCAGTAATGATGATGATGATGCACCCTATTCTTTCTGCTCACCAGTGGCGTCAGTTAGAAGTCCGACGGCGCTTCGAGCTCGTCGTGTACATCGTATGACGTATATGTCCTGTTGTGTCGTGTCCAAAAGTTTCCTAAAACCGGAATGACATGAATGGGCATCCATCAAGGACAGTAGCAAACCACAGTTTCAGTTACCAACGTGCGTTGTCTAGAATGCAGAAAATTTAATGCGTTTGGCCGTTTTACTTCAGATTATGCTACTCATAAAGCTGCTGATTAACATCGAATCGAAGCCATAGAAGCTTCAGCACATCATACTGTTGGTCTTGGCGCTAAAATATGACACTTGAATGCAACGGGCATTTCCGGATCTATTTCAAGTAAGCTGATGCTGTACGGCAGTGAAGCATTGGTGTTGAGCACTGATGTCATGCTGTCGTTGATGATGATGATGATGATGCAGGGTAGCTCGATTCCCGCAACATCCAAACTCGACCATTCTGCCATTTGTAGACACGTGTCTACGTTATATTCCGGCTTCCCATAATCTTGTGCGACTTTTCGTACAGTCGTGGATGTATCTTCCTCTGCGTTTTTCCTGAACTTGTTTTTCTTCGGTCAACAATCTCCCTCACTCCCATCAACCACGTTTTTATTGGTTGACTTCAGTATCGGTCCCGTGTAGTTTTGGTCGATCAATATTGCCGCTTCGGTTTCACTGTGTCCACTTCTCTGAGGCAAGCTTTTCTGTGATACATGCCACTCACACGTCGTACTTGACTGAATTGATCGAGTTTTTTTTTGTCGTAGCTGGTACATCTCGAATGTTCGACATCCTCTGTGAGTAGGCTTTTAGGGTGTGAGGCACAAGGCTGGATTTGTGGTATTCCGTCAAAACACGCTAGTTCCAGTTACTTGGGATGTACTGATTTCCAGTATATCACTTGCAAACACAGGTCTTTGAGGGTTATACCTGTTATCATCTCCAGCCATCCTCTATCAAAGAACAGGCTCGTTCATGCGTAGAGTTAGGGAGAAAAAAGTGAATACTATGAATTCACTCAGTACTTTCAACCAGAACGCCTTGCTTACACGGTGTTGTAACGCGTGCCACGTGACTTCAGTAGACAAATAACTGCGTGGTAGACTACCTGACTGGTAGCTGCTTCTCTTTATTAGTTCTCGTGTGGGTTAATCGTCGAACTTCATCGCTCTATTTGGCCAAGTAGGTGGTACTGTTATATGCGTTGGAACAACCCAGACTGGTTTTCTTGTTACTTATCCTTGTTCTAGGCCTACTGACGAGTATCTCGTTACAGCGTAACAGCGGCGTAACAGCACTCCGGCGATTTATGGGTTTGTATCCCTGAAATTAGTGCGATGTGCACCGTTTATACTAATGATGCTAATAGCGATACTAATAGTAATAACCATTCAACTGTGACACTTTTGGTGTCGAGCAGCAGGAAGGAAGGTTTCGGAGGAAGCAGGAGGGCGTAAATACTATCAGGCTTCCGAGGCCTAGAAAGGAACGCTCAAGGCACCCAGGTTGAGCTGTGTTTACGGACCCTCTGGTCAGTAAGTGCGCACCTCAACACTGAGCCACCTCAAGCTCTCAATCACTGCTTCTGTAACGTCGAAGCAGTCGTGTAATCTTTTTTGACATTTCTGCACTAACTAGCTCTGTTTTGTATAGAAATAACTTATGTAGTGGATAAATCTACGCCTGTCTGTCACCGGGTGATGTAGCAGCTTAAATCTCCCGGATGTTGGCTGTTTGGTATTCTTCGGCCTTTCAGCCTCCATATAGTTCTTCGTAAGCGATACATGCGGATATCACCGTTGTTTACGTAGAAAGCACGATGATCACCACATAAGTGATTTCATTTCACTTTTTCATGTACGGCCATCAGCATAATCATCAAAGATGACAATATCGGTTTTGACACTGATGTTCTACTGCCATACAACCACAAAGTTTACTTAATTGTATTTCAAGCCTTAAAGTCAAAATAAAAGTGCATAAGCGAGTGGATCGGTGTCCGTCTATTACATTCATTCTGAGATGCCCACACCTTAAACCGTTTAATCAGACAATTTGAGTAGAAACTGATGGCACTAACATCTATTAGCCGCCATTTCTTACGTTTCCAGCCAAGAGCAGAGAGTCTTGGGGACTCTAACCTGGAAGGCGGACCGCGCAAACAACGCTCAAACTTATTCTGTTGCCTATTTCTTTCTCTCATCCTTTCGCCAATTCGTAAGATGTTCGCTCTGCAGAGGCGCGGAGGACAATAGCTGATTTTTTGGCATCCGTAGCATATGGCCGTGCGGGGGGAATCTAGCGTATGAAGAAGGGTCGTCTGTTGTCATGTAGTCCCCAGTGCCCAACACTAAAGTGTAGCGTTTTTTCAGGGTTTGAAGTCTGATTTCTGTTTGTTTATGGTTGTTCCTGAAGACGGACGCTCAGAAGCTGCGGTCTAGCATGGTGCAAAACGAACAAATCTGCTGGAACCTTCTGAGGTAGGGAAAGGGAGAAAGGGGAACACGTGAAAGTGTATGAAGGGAGATGTCACTGGTAGCATCTTTTGCTTCTCAATCTCGCAAATAAGGTGACCTGGCTGGTAGCACAACGCGACGGTCGAGCTGGCATTACAGTACTTCTAGTGGTGACGTTTCGTGACTGCGTGCGGGCTGAGATGATGTCAGGACTCCCACACCTAGACAGGAGAGCAATTAAGGCCTTCCAACAAAAACTCTGGCTCAAAAGCCTGACCACGAATCAGTGGGTGGGTGCCAGAATACTACCATAGTGACACAGTTCTTGATGTGGTAAATCGCCTTACATGTTCCAATCCCCAACCCGGAGGACCGTGCTCCTCAGACCCTTAAATCATTGACTAATCTGGTCTGAGAAACTCTGCAATCTCCCAACTCCGGTGTGCTCATTGGGTCATAAAGGTATACAAATGTCTCCACACAGCAGATCGGTCGCTCATATGTGTCGCCCTTTTGATACACTCCAAAGGAAACGCCGAAGCTGAGGTACCGTCGGGTTGCTGAAGCTTCGACAACTACAAAAGCGAAGTTATGAGTCGACCCGAAACATGGACGTTTCGGGCATTAGCGTGCTCCTTAACTCTGGACCTAGTTTGGGCTTGTGTCTTTGAATGTCCTTAAAATTTGCCCGCACGAGGGTGTGCTAGATGCGACAGGACTGCAATATACCGTCTTACAAGAATCTGAGAGTATTTTGTGTCCCTCATGTAGATCTCTGTTCATAATCTAACCTCTTTGTTCTGGATCCACTAACTGACACTGACACTACCCCGTTGGACACTTCGGAAACTATGTCCTCTCTCCCATTTTAATCACGATTTAAACTAAACGTGAAAATCCTGTTAGATGCGCGCGTCACTTACTCTGTGATATCACCTTAATCGGGTCGCCTGATAACTTTCCCGTCCTTTTTGATCCTTCAGCGGAAATGGGGTAACATCTCGGTGGATGAGCCGCTCGATGTGAGACCATATTCGTTCAACCTGGCACGCGAGTGCTTGGGTTCCGCATTGTTGGCGGTGGATTTCAACAACAAGAAAACGTACGCTTCCTCATCGGTGTGCAGTGTTTTCGGTGTTCCTGAAGAAACGTTTTTTTTTAAATCTGTATTGAGCGTGAGGAATACATCAGATCTCCTCATATTACCCATAGTTTCGGAATCGTCTTGTCTGAAAGTACAGATCTTAGATGGGGACCTAGTGTTATTCTGTTATTCAGAGCAGTAACCTCATATTTGCACATGTTTATCACGAATGCCATACTGATTTACGAGCTAGTCGATACTGTCTGTTAGTCACTTTACTGCAAGGTGATTTGCTCTGTGGCAAGGGGAGCGGGTTTCATTATTGCATTACTTAAATGCAATCCGCTACCCAGTGCTGGTTCTTCTGATAGATACTTTACCACATGTGGCGCTTGGTTGTTGGTCTGTTCGCCCAGCTTGCGGGTTTGATTGCAAACGTTTCATCGCCAATCGAGGTGACATCGTCAGTAGGGGATCGATTGTGGTGCTCCCGGTGATCACTTAGGGAAAGTTAGCTTAATACTACCTACTTAACCGTAAAAGTGTTTGTTCTGTGCAAGCCCATGTTATGGGATTACTGAATTTGTCTTTTAGTTCGTGGCTAGGGCTGCCTGGGTTTGTCATTTTCCGAAAAGTGCAATTTAGAATAAGAACAAAGATGGATTGACGAACATGGTTTTTTAAGGTCTTTTCAAGTCACACAGTTGCAAAGGCTAACATAATTTAATGGGCAAGGTGTACATGAACACGAGGTTGAGTGAGAGGCGGCATTGGCTATTTATCAAGGAACAACCAGTTCAGGTCACCAATAGGATAACCTGAGGTTTTCAGTGCAGGCGGTGCTGTGGTTGTGTTCCAAACAAGGTGCACTTGCGGGGGGAGGTGAGTTGGACCATGGCAAGTACTACACGCGAACAAGGCGTTTTTGGCGTCAACGGATCGGGTCGCGATGTCGTACGGCGATAGCTTCAGCCACTGCGATTGTGCGTTGCTGTACCGATCTGAGTACGGAGGCTTTAGCTGGGTTTCACGTTATGCGCCGTGTCTGCTAGATGAGCTGGTTATCGTCCTTCTAGTCAGGGTGGATTGTGTTCATTCTTTGACCGAGTCGCCTAGTCGTGCATCCAATGCATTCTGTTACGCACCAGCAAGAGAATGAGTATACCAATATATTTTGGGCATGAACAGATCTTTGAGATTAAAGGAACACAGACGATTGCTTGTGAACCAGGTTCGGAGTGTTGCACCCGGGAAAACTGTGCAATCTGATATAAAGTCCTCTGTTCAGTAAGTCGACCGGTATGTTGCCGTCAAACGGGAGGCTAATGTAGGCGGGTTTGTTTTCAACTGTGAGGTAACAGTGTAGCTTCTCCCCTGTTCAAATGTTTTATAATAAAACTGTCAGGGAACCCGTTGCCTCTTGGAACGTTGGTGAGAACTACCAATGCATCATCAGAGCATATTTTCCTCGCTCTGTTAGTTAAACTGTGGATCAGATCCCTTTTCTGCTTTGCTGTCACGGCGGTATTGCAGGATATGACGATTAATCGATGTCGTTTGCGTTCCTGCTGTCAGTTTCTGTCCACTTTGTTCGACTGACCGTTTTGATGTCTAGGTATTGGGATAGAAAGTGATGCAGAGCTTGAAATAAGATACGATGTAACACGAAATTCCAGACTGTTAAGCGTCGGTAATAGATTTGATTTTCTGTGATTACTGCTGGACAAACAAGGTGGTTACTGGCTAACACTAGCTAGCCCACTCTGCATGTTTGCCCCAGTTGCGTATTATGACTGATGCGGGCCGCATCCACGCACACTGTAGTTTTCGGTGTTTTAGTTGTTCTTGAATGGTCGGACAATAAGGATCCATCTTTGGGCATACGAATAAATTCGGAGCTATCCCTTCCGGTTCACGTTCCAACTTCATAAGTTTACGCTCACTCAGATAGTTACACTCGCCGCTCAGTGCGGACCGTAGGTGGTATTAACCATCTTACACGGAACAAGTATCAATGTGAAAAGCTTATTCGAAAGAAGATGTTTGCACGTTGTGATGACTACCAGGCGTCCTTCATTGTTCATTGCTGGCGGTTTAGCTCTTAATGGCCCTTTATACCCCATTGTGCTCAGCTTCTTCCGTAAATACATCGAAGAGATAAGCCATTTCCCTGTAATCATTACAGAAAAACCCGCAGATAGCCCTGCTTAGGACTTATGAGATCACTTGAATATACAAATACGTTACAGGTACGAGCATGTGTTACCTTTGTTTTGTGTTCCTTCTGAATTTCTCCCGCGGTTTACCCCGAAATAGCTTCGTTCTGGTTAGCCTGCAACAAAAGTTCCCGGAAGTGTGCGAGGAACAAAACTCGCGGGTCAGCCACCGTAATGTGGCAAGCCCCCATAGTTTTTGTATAATAGTTATATTTTTCATATCAGCTGTTTTCAGCGGATGCTGCTTCAAGTTCCGATAATCTCAAACAAATGTTTTCATTGTCATTCTAAAGGCGTCTCTTTGGGTTTAATTTCTTTACTATTCAAGGTATGGTTCATTCTTCCGAATAGTTTCCTCTTCTACTTTTTTCCATGACCGACCCATCGCTGACCTGCTTTCGCTTCCACCACAGTCCCGCAGGAGATCCTCTTGATGCTGATCTCATGGCTCGCGAGTTCTCGATGCAATTTGCTGACACTCCTCTCACTGTTGGTCAACCGATTCTGTTCAAATTCAACAAAAAACTACTTCTGGTGGAAGTGATGAAGTTGTCCAGTAGGTTTCCTGTTTTCTGCCATATTGAATGCATATTTTCCATCGGTGTTGGACGTAGAAGTTACCACACTGTTTCTGTGATATGGTTTCAAGCATTGTGCGAGATGGTTCAGTGGTTAGGACGCGAACCTGAAATCCCGCTCCTGTCTAGGCTTTGGCAACGTGGAGGGCGAGATTCATCAAGTGATTAGGGCGTGAATTTACGGTTGCAGTGGTTCGAACCCGACCTCTGCCTCTCGATTTTCCCTGTCTAGGCTTGGGCAACCTAGCAATATCTCAGCCCTCATGTTTCCTTCTAGTTGCATTGCAGTCAGGCACCGAAAGGGTGTTACAGCTGAACGACTTGGCAACCTAGCAGTATCCCAGCCCTCGTGCCTCCTTCGCATGATATCGTAACTGTGCACTACACAAGGGTGTTTGTTACAGCTGAACGATTCTAGCTCGCATTCGTAAAATAAATCACGATTTAGTTTCAATCAATTTATCAGCTATAAACCGTGTGCCACAGGCACTTTGGTTCCAGCTACTACAGTTTCGATCACCGGAAAACGGGGAAGTGCAATACAAACCCAAGCCTTGGCGAAAGCATGCTCAGTTTGTTCGGAAATCGGGTAGCTACGCACTGAAGGATGCACGAGAGCCACTGACTGCGCGATTATGCCATTTCCTCCAATGTCAATAACCACTAGTGATTTGAGTCCCGAGGTCCTTATCCAGAGAGGGGATAGTTGCGCGTCCGACTTAGTTTACTGCTTAGTATTTTCGTACTTCGTTGCCAGGTCATACATTGTATACCTCTCGGTTGATTCCACTCAGCACAGGGTTAGTCGAATAGAGCCCTGCGAGCTGTGCATTGAAGGCAATAGCTTGGATGCACGAGTGCCATTGAGGCCTCGACTGGGCCATGTCTGACAATGTCTAACTATTGATATGGCCCGTTTCGGAGTCCCCATCCAGGAAGACGGCAATGACCAGCGCACCTCAGTTTCCACACCTCACTGCCAATCGTATCTCGATACCGAAGGGCTAGTCGTCTCTCTTTCATCCCCACCACGTCAAACTTGTCACTGTAAAGGGCATTCACAATATTTGGGTAGGCTGTTCGGTTCATACTACACACCCCTCATATAGTTATTTTGTAGCGAAATGCCTGCCCCAGTCGTCTGTGTCAATTTTCAATGAAGTTAATGTGTAGGAATCCTGTCTGCGCAACACCAGTTTTGGATGGTAAGCGGCCGTTCCGGATGCGACCATTCGCAAACGTACATTCACCTCTGACCTCTACACGGTGTCATAACCTCCCTTCAAGTACTGGGGCAAATCCTAACAGGATTGAGTGCATATTGTGGCCCGGACGGGTTGTCACCGGCTAAGCTCTGAACACTTGCGGTTTCTATGTTACTTCATCTTTTCACCTGGTGACTGGTCGACTTCATAGAAATTGTCTCGACAGCGAACATTTTTGACTGGTCACTTTCATGTTCCTTAACCTTTATTCGTGTCCCGTCATGCAGCCATTTCAATGGATCGCGGAGAACATGCGAATAGCAAGGTGAGCTGTTCGTGCATTCGTTATCTGTGCTTGTTTATGCAAAAAATCGGATGTGTTTGAAACGGCTAACAGATGGTTGATGCAACTGCGCTGCGGAGTTATTTATTAGAAAACACCAAATGAACAGTTACAGACTATTGGACAGGGGAGCAAAACTCTCATATGCATCTTGTTTACAAAACTGTATATCCATCTTCCCCTTGAATGCGTCTTCCTGAACTTTCCTGGATATTCATTGACTGTCACTCAAATGCAAGCAAATGCTGCAAAGCGACTCCACAAATTCCGTAATAGATCTCACTTTTCAAGAGATGCGAAGCGGATTTTCGAGAAAGCACACTACTCACATGCCTCATCAGTAGTATCCACCGTTACACTAGTATTTCCGCGTCCTCTGATTGGTCTGTTCAGAGTAGTTGTTCTTCATGTCACCGAATACTCGCGACCTTAAGCTATATCCATCTGGAGACACTGTGTAGTATACTCTTATTCGGCACGAGGATAGATATAAGCTTTCATGAGGATTCACTCTAATGGTGTTTGTTCATTTTAGCCTCATGTTCTAGGCCACGGTCAATCCTGAGGAAGTCATTATTTTCAGCCCTCAGTCTATGTTGTGTTCAGTCAAGTCAAAGAAACGAAAGATATATCCATAGGTGAATTTTCAGTATCTAACATTATAGTCGTCGTAATTGGTCATACTCATCGTCGAAACCATCAGCGACAGCAATATACTAGTAATAAATGCTGCCGTACAACCATGGGAATGCCTGGTAAGGGGTCAAAAAAGACAGCTCCTGTAAGACCAGAAGTGCGGGAACAGAGACCACGAAGTACGTTCACGAACTTCAGGGGCATTCATCTCTGCTGAAGTGCATGCAGAAAAACTGACCTATCTACGGAGTTAAAGGCTCCTTTGAAAACGGCAACGTTCATCGGAGGTATGTGTGGCGGTGCTCCTGAATTGGGCATAACGTGAAGATATGATCGTTTCACTCTCCGTCCGGGCTTTGTCCACATTCGCGTCTCGTTTCCCAGCGTTGAGTGTAGCAGTATTATTAGGGCCGGTAGCCGCATTACAACGGACCGTTTGACTAAACTCTTGATAGGTACCAAATGTGGTTGTGGATGACTTTGAGGCACCAATAAATTTGCCATTCCGCTTATTCGGTCAGTGATTTGCGGCGAGTTTTTGGAGATGGTACCATACAACGGTTTCAAAGCACATCGACTTTTATTGCAATGTCGTTTCTCTTTCGGAGGCAAGTCAATTGGGCTTTTGACTAAATTCTATCCGGACGAAGACAAAAATCCGCTGACCAAGCCCACGATATATATATATATATATAGCAAAATGCATCCTATAAAACAAGAGCTGGTAATTCGACGCTTACTGCTGAGAATCGACTGTTACGACTGAGCTATCTGGGTTTGCCAAGGCTCCATTCGGCTTGGGGGCTCCACTGGAACGCTGTGACAGCTGTGGTGAAGCCGATTCATTGTTCGAAAGACCCAGTTATCTCCTTGAATCAAATTTGTCTTGAGATCTTTCCGTGAATCTTAGATGCCTTTTGGCATGTTGTGCCTGTTGCCTTCAGTCACATTGTGTTAGTGAGAAACCCGTATATGAATGAGAAAACATCGAGTTGACGGGAATTCCATGACTGCGCCTATCTGATGAGTTTCGAATGAGCCAGACATATGCTTCCGTCTTTCCAGTTTTCTCACTTTTCTGCCCAAACGAGGACCACCAGCACCGTGATTTTGACAGCCGTATTCCCTTATCCTCCGGGCAATAGGAAATGATGGACCCAGTTGTACAGGAGTTCCTGCTACCTACCATTACTGCCGAGCTGATACAATGGTCACTTTACTCGGGCAATCGTCAGTGACAAATCAACAGCTGAGACCTACCTACTTTTGAAAGAACACTCGAGATTCCTCGATCCGGCTCGGCAGCAGGGCGAACTGTGGCTTCTGGGCTCCCTTTGTAACGTCAGTTGGAGGGCGCTGTACAATGCGACTGGCTATGTTTGACTTCACGCTAGCATCTTGCTTTGGTGTCTCATCATTGCCCGTCTTCGAATACGAAAATGCAGACGAAAGGTATACACTCACCCATCCTGAAAAGGTTGGAGCGTACGCTATGCCTTTTCTGATGCTTCCCAAAGACCGCAATGTCTACCATACCATTCAGTGAGAAGTCCCAGTGAATTACATGACTTGACACCAGTTTGAAACTCGAGTCAACCTCCTTATACACACCAGTAGCTGGCCGTCCGTGTACGCTTTATGGCTACCATACCAGACACGAATCGCACGTTTTGCTTGACTTCCCATCACATTTTTCTAGTTTCAACCTTTGTACACGGAGCACGACAAACTAATCACCTCGCTACTGTAATAAACTTATTTAAATAGTGACAGTAGATATCCATTTGCATTGAAGGATTTCCAGCATTATTGTGATATTTGTCAGTTTGTTGTAGCAAATTATCTAGGAATCGTTGCATTGCTTATAGCCTTGATAATGGCGATATGGTGTGCACTCTTGTCTAGATGCTAGGACAAATTTAACAGTTTCTATGATGAAACAAAACCAGGTAATAGATTGGTTTTTTAACGATTACAGACAGCACACTGATTTGTCATAATTGGTCGTCATCTCCTCCCTAATATTTTAGATTGAATAACACCGATTAAAACTGGGTTGTTTATCGTCTGCGTCTCTAGCCCTTGACGTGACGGTGTATGATGTAATTCGTGAGTAGTATCTGCCTGATGCAATATGAAAAATTATCTGGTCGTCCAGCCCGGAGTTATTTGATTGTTTTTTGGCCAAACAAAAGAAATGAGGAAGTTTCAAAAGTACACTCAGGAACTATAGTGTCCGGATCCCTATGCAAATGAGTTTCTCGCTTCTGCCTTTTATACTTTTAGGGAAAGACCAACAAAACATGCAGAAGCACGTGGATTATTCCCGGCGATCCACTCGTTTGCTTGTTTTGTGTGTGCCTATTTAAATAACGGAGCTGTCTTATAAACCACAGGCGATATTCTAAACCTGTCATAGACTAGTTAATATTTACTTTATTCAGATTGGCATGCTCACCGGAAACACCGTACTGACATGGGAGCGACAGGCTGACTCCAAGGTGTTACTCATCGGTAAAGCAGCATCCTCAGGTACGACGGGAAGCGGAGGCTACCAGAGCATCATCAATCCCAACTGGGACTTCAATCAGATGGGCATCGGTGGTCTGGACAAAGAATTTGCAGCTATATTTCGACGTACCTTTGCGTCCAGGATGTTTCCACCTGCAGTTGGCAAACAGCTAGGTAAGTTTTGAGTTCGTGAAACACGCCGAGTTCAAGTGCCTTCATCAATGCAGTATGTTTCATCCATCGCCACTCTGTAGTGAGTCATGAAGGAACTGGTGTGCGAGAGGACTCATCATTCTTTGGTAGCTTAAGCTCCTTCCCATCTGCAGCTAGTTAGCATTTATTATCAAATTTTTACCTATTTACTTGGGTCTACACTCAGAGGGTATACTGCAACTCCTAGAACAGGTTACGCTTACCTTGTTCATCGAAGGCTGGCAGCCAGGCTACCTCAATAGCAAAGGTAGAATAACACTGGTGCCTACACTCATCCACTCAGTCTTTTTGCCTCACGTACTCACTACATTAAACGGGGAATTCGTATGCTTCCCACAATGCCTGCCAGATTCCGCCCTATAACCCTCCAAACTGTTCAATTCCTACTATTCAGAGATTGTTTCTTTGTCATCTTTTCACAAGCGGAAAAGTCTCCAAATAGCACTACACTAAGCATAAGAACAGGAATGGGTTGGCGAATATATTTTCGGCAGGGTTTTCCAAAGTCATACTTTTGCAAATCCTACGATTCCAGTACTTAGCTCCAATTCATGAGTGCAGTGGACCTCAATGAGGAAGCCGAGTGAGAGACGATATATGGCAAGACACATTCAGTTCGAGTAGTGGTGCGGGCTCTGTTGTGTTCAGCACCGAGTGTATCTGAGGGGAAGGTGAGCTTGACCCTCGTCACTCAAACACACAAACAAGACCATCTTACCGACAAAGAGTAAGATGGCAATAGCCTCATTGTGACTGGGCGACGCTGTGCAGATCTGAGTTGCTTAGCAAAGGCCTTGTAAACAACACGCAACCTTTGGTTGGCCACCAGGTCGTGCATCGCGTCTGCTAGGTGCTGTACGATTGAGCTGACCATTGTTCTCTCAGTTCCAGGAACTAACCAATACGGATTGTATTCCCTCAAGTTGCCCCTGTATAAATCATAGAAACACAGGGGACTTCTTTATTCCTTTATTCCCATCACAAATCTTTGGACACAATCAACACGACCTGACTGTCTAGGTTGCTTTTCGGCACCTAACATCTTATTTTTAGGTCGCATAGTCGCTGTGAACCTGGCTGCAATTCCGCGATCTTCCAAAACTGTGTGATCTGTTGATGTATATTCATCCAACAATGTGTTAGATTATGCGGCAGCATGGTTACTGTAAGTGAATTTTAGTGAGAATGTTAGTGAAACCACTGACCCGATGATCTGTGGTTTGAATCAAACCCTGGCAATTCAGTAATAATTCAGCCCTTGTGCTTCCCCCGAGTTATGCACCCAAAGGGTGCCACAGCCCGAACCATCATTATGCGAATATGAGTAGAATGTTGGAGTGCCCGTAAGAAGAAACTCGCTTTACAAACCTCGTTTCGGCAGCGGGCTATGTGGGGCCAGATAGCTCAGCGGAAGGTCCATGGTTCGAACCCGACCGGTACCTCTTGACTTCCCCTGTCTATACTTGGGCAACCTGGCAGTATCCTCGTGCTTCTCCTGTTGGCATGGCAGTTAGGCATTGAAAGGGTGCTACAACTGAACGATTTTTTATTTGGGAAGCAGCATCTTCCCAGTAGTTATCCGCCGATCTTGATGGAACTGATGAGCGCCCCGTCCCTGAGCTAACTTGTAGTTTGAACCGGTGAATAGTTTAGAATAGCTGAATAGTTTGAAGAGCCTGTAGATGAATACCAGTGACATTTTCCAGTGGGGTAGGTTTGTGTTAGGTCTCTTGGTGCTCTGGTTTTAACTTAATTAACTTGATTAGCAGGTGACAAGCATTAACAAAGTATGTTTTTTTAAGAATATTGATTACAATAGTTAGGTACACTTACTTGATAAAAATAAATACAATGGAAAAGTGGAATAAGTGAAAAGGTGACTTATCGTTTGAGGACAACTGTTGGGAGTTTCTGAGTAGATTTCAGGACGCGAGACTTGTTTTTTCTGCTACACCTGTTCTGTAGTTGACCGTGGAGACTTGTGGGGCTTGGTTAACTTCCTCTCGTGTGTGTGTGTGTGTATCTGCTGGGCCGAGTTGCATGCCTATTTATCGTGAACAGTTTGACGAGAGGGGTGTCCTTTCGTGCTTGATAATTGTACGAACATAAATACAACTTGACCTGATGTGGTTGAAGTTCGTAAGTCTGGCGCGTGACGCAGCTGGTAGCCGCGTAAAGAAAAATGATTTGGAAATTATAGTGTACATGCTGTCGCTTAAGGTTGCAAGTGGGACAGGAATTGTTACGCTTTTGGTTACGCATAATCTAGTGAGTGACCGCTACAGGTCTCACTATGCGTCTACAGGTGGACGCTCTTTTCTTTAGGAAGCTTGTTTTTCATGTTCATTCGAGTTCATTCTCCTCTCAAGGTTTGAAGCATGTCCGTGGAATGTTACTGTATGGTCCCCCTGGAACTGGCAAGACCCTTATGGCTCGTCAGATCGGGAAAATGCTGAATGCTCGTGAGCCGAAAATTGTATAGTGTACAGTCGCTTAAGGTTGCAAGTGGGACAGGAATTGTTACGCTTTTGGTTACGCATAATCTAGTGAGTGACCGCTACAGGTCTCACTATGCGTCTACAGGTGGACGCTCTTTTCTTTAGGAAGCTTGTTTTTCATGTTCATTCGAGTTCATTCTCCTCTCAAGGTTTGAAGCATGTCCGTGGAATGTTACTGTATGGTCCCCCTGGAACTGGCAAGACCCTTATGGCTCGTCAGATCGGGAAAATGCTGAATGCTCGTGAGCCGAAAATTGTGAATGGTCCAAGCATTTTGGACAAGTATGTCGGTGAATCGGAGGCCAATATTCGGAAGTTGTTTGCTGATGCCGAGGAAGAAGAGAAACGAATGGGTCCACACTCCGCTTTGCACATCATCATCTTCGATGAAATTGATGCTATCTGCAAAACCCGTGGCTCCACAGTGAGTTCCTTCAAAAGTTAATAGTCTCCCGATAAAGATATACAGTAACTTCTGAAGAGCGATTGTTTTGTGAGCCTTACTTTCCTACTTCTTTCCTACCACATGATCGGTTTCTTTGTATGTTCGAAAACTGTAACCAACAACCCTTTTTTTTGAATGGTCGAATTCCCTTCTCGAAAGATTTTACAATAACGTTTGGGCGCTACCAAACGGTCGTTTCATTCATATTTTCTTGGGAGCATCTCGACAAAAACCCGGAGTTTATTGATTGTCCCCGGTGTACGTAAGCTATTATTAAATAATTTTCTGCTGTTGGCGAATTACACAATAGAACATACCAATAAAGATGCAGAAAACTCTTCAACGGCTTACATTTATTTGAGTTTTATGTTAGCATGAACTCAATTTCATAACGCGTACTTGGAGATGGCACTCACCTGATGACCCTCAAGGGGGCGTAACTGGTAGTGAGTTGCCGAACGGTTTTCGACAACCCTGTAAATAGTATTTCCTGTCAACAATTTTTCGCTCCTTTTAGAAATGTTCATTCGGTTGCCTTTATCCAATGCTGATTGTCCGTGTGACCTTTTTTGTCCACTAAGCTGAACTGTGCGTTTAAACCGTCGTGTTAGCCGTCATGTGACCGATATAGCAGGCCACACAAAAGCAAATTCAAAGACGTACACTGAAGTTAGCCGACGGGACTGACGTCTGGCTATAATGCATCCGATGCTTGCTTGCTCTACTCAGCACAAATACACACTAGTCGCTCAGCCAATTTCGTATATCTATAGACTGGAGCGAAGATTTGAACTGATAGTTTGATTACTTTTCCCAGCATATCCTTATCTGACTCTGTATCACACCTTCCAAACTCGACATTTAAACTATTGACCTTGTGACGTACCAAAGCGGGCTTCTCGTCTACTTCAATCGATGTCTCGGATCCAGGTTGCTTTGCGTTCTCACAGTCTAGCAAACGGACACGGTTAAAGACGGAATGGTGGCCACTGGTGTTGTCGGTGAGAAGAGAAGAGCATGGTGCTTCTATGTGGGCTGTTTCTTTACAGTGAAAATAGAGATTACAGTGACCTATATTGGATTCTGTCTCATCTCTTTCTGAGATCCTTTCAGCTTGTTACAGTTGTCAGGAATGGGAAACCTTGAAGGAACGAACCACTTAATTCTGTGATTTACTGAAAGCCAGTCCGATTTCGGAGTTTCTCATTTGCTGTTTACCTCTGACGGCAAATAAGTTTTGAGGAAGCCTCCAGCGAGTATCATTCAAATTGTGGTGATTTTTAATAGCTTTTATCGCAGTTCATGATTAGGCTTTCATGATAAGGTTTTTTAGTTCCGCTATCACAGGCTTCTACGCAATTCCTTGATTGTTGTTATGGCAACAACTACCTTTCAGATTCACACTAACTGTGTCACCTTGTCTACTCTGATCGATAATTAACCTGGGATTCTTCTTCCCTGTCCTCTCCTCATTTGCGAAGACCGGAGGTGCAGGCGTCCATGACACAGTGGTCAACCAGCTGCTCACCAAAATGGACGGCGTTGAGCAGCTGAATAATATTCTAGTGATCGGAATGACCAACCGCTTGGATATGATCGACGAGGCACTCTTGCGGCCGGGCCGATTCGAGGTCAGTCTGCCACTTTTTGTTCGTTGCTTTCGCCTGTCCGTGACGTGCATTAATTATGGCTTATCGGTCTCCGTTAGTGATACAGAGGATCTCCGTTCAGAGCGCCCATGTATAGCGTCTGGTCAGTCTGTGTGCCATCTTATCCTTGAAAGGAAGTAATTTCCAGTCGTGTTTCTAGAAGCGTTTGGTGCTCTGACTTCACTCTGATGGTGGTGGGTCAGCCGTATGGTTGACTCACACATACATTCGTCGACGTGTACACGATCTTAGGGAACGCTTTGATGAGTTGTTCTCTTGTTCCTTGCGCTAATTAGATCGGTCGAGTCTTTCCTGAGCAGCTGGTCCATCCACGTTTGCTCGTTTTTTAGGCATTGGTAGTATAGGTTGTTGACAGGACCTTCCAGAATGGTTGTGTTCGTTTCTTGTATACATTCTGCACAAGCCTTCAGAGACTATTTCGCCATCTGGTGAGCCCCTCCACTCGGTCTGTAATTTCCGCTGCGCAAGCGATCTTGGTGCGGAGTCCGGTCACTTCCCCCAATCGCATGATTGCAATAGAGACTCTGCGACCAGGTGCCCTTCACCGTTACTGGGCCTCAGCTTGAAATGACTACTATCCATTGGTGCAGCAGAACCTGGCACTGTCGTTATCGTAAATCCGTTTTTTTAAACTCGAACACTGTTCCTGAGGCTTCCGTTTGTGGCCCAAGTGGTTAGAGCGAGAATTTACTGACCGGAAGGTCCGTGGTTCGAACTCGACCTCTGTCTCTCTACTTCCCCTGTATAGGCTTGAGTAACCTGGCGGTATCTCAGCCCTCGTGCCTCCTTCTGGTGGCATGACAGCTAGGCACTGGAAGGGTGCTACAGCTGAGCGTATTCGATTCAGGAGCAAACATCTTCGCGTAAACGTTGGTCACTTTGCAAATTCATGACAGTTACCAACGCCTTTCTTCTTTATTTGTCCCCATAAGAAGATACTTTTGCTGATTTTTTTCAACTGTCACACCTGCCTTGCAGTTTTACCACTTTTCACCATGGCTGATGCTGCCCGAATCGGTGGCTTCGGCTCTGCTGATTAGACGGATTGTTTTCGGTCATGCTTATCAGTCTATGCTTCACGCATCTTTTACAGGTGCGAAACAAGTCAGCTAGGGGTAGGCGCAGTCCCCCAGTTTCCGTCAAGGCTGATGCTGAATCGGTGGCTTCGGCTCTGCTGATTAGACGGATTGTTTTCGGTCATGCTTATCAGTCTATGCTTCACGCATCTTTTACATACAGGAAACAAGTCAGCTAGGGGTAGGCGCAGTCCCCCAGTTTCCGTCAACCTTATGTTCTACTTGAACCTAATTGGACTGTTTTCGGAGATACACTCATTTGCAAATCAATTTGGTTTTCACGAGAGACTCAACTGAATCTCTCGTTTATGATATTCTACGACTGAATGTGCTGCACACAGGCCGCCTCATGTTTGCACGATATTCGAGATATCGCAGTATATTTTCATGAAGGAAACTACTCACAAGGTTGCTGAAAACTCTTCGACAGCCCACGACCGGTTTCGCCCTTCTTGGGGCTCATCAGGTAGGCTCAGTCGCCGAGTTTCCATCAACATTATGTTATACTTGAAGCCAAATTGGACTGTTTTCGAGAAATACACTCATTT